GAGAGGAACTGGGGAACAGAGTCTCATTTGTATGAAATTGAAGAACACACATCGTGGCACATGATGTAACATTTTCAGCAGATGGAAGAGATATGCGACAGTACACACAAGTGGGAACATACCTCAACCAACAGTGGGCCTGTACTGGTGGACTAGACAGACCATTGGTTGTAGCTACAATGATATGGTGTAGTCTCGTCCATTGGTGAGACCAGTCAGAGTGTGACTCATAGTGTTTCCACCATGACAGTTGTCTCATCGTTGCTCCCTCCTCCAGTGTAGGAGATGGTGTAGCCAGTGATACCATCCAGAGGAGAGGGAGGAGTCCAGGTCACTGTGATACTAGTGGGACCATCCTGGACTGCTGTCACAGCAGTGGGAGCGGGGGACCTGAATAAATGTATGACGGCCACACGGAGCATGGCTACAGACAAATGAATCACTCTCTTAAACACATTGCTAGGCGGCCAATGTTCTTTACTAAAGTTTCATTGATTGAATAAGTAATATCAACTATGAGTTCCTTCGATCATTACGGTATACATGTGCGCCATGCCCATTAAGTGGTGTTGTCATTCAAGGAGTCATGTGACAATCTAAGTTATAACCCAGCTAGAGTTTTCTCTACAGTGGATGTGAAAACGATTCCTGGGGCATATTTATCGACACATGTAATGATATGTCCTTGGCCATGTGATACATGACTATGCACATCCAACACTGGCTATGGGTACATAGTACTGACTGTAATATACCTGGTACAGTGGTGCTAGCTGATAAAGCTGAGGATGGCTTGTTGTTAGCCACAGTACAGTGTACTCTCCTGCAGTGTCACAGTCAGAGTGTGGGTGTACTGTGCAGTCACTGGGTCATTCAACACAGTCTTGTTTTGCTCTCCAGTGATATTGACATTGTTTCTGGTCCAAGTGACAGTGGTAGCAGGTCCACCAATGGAGATACAGGTGAGGGTCAGCTGGCTAGGGTCAAATATCACTCCTCCAGATATTGAGATGTCTCCTGAACAAAGTGCAGCAGAATCACAAGTAGTATCACAGTACTAGTACAAAGCCCCTGATGCTTATCACCCCATGTTCTATATAATGCCTCAATATAACAATACTAGACCTATAGCTATAGCCTGTTTTCTGCTAATTCATGAGACAGTGTAAAATAATGTAAGTAAAGTGTGGTTCTTAAGACATTTGTATGTATATATTTAAGATAGCGACAACAGAGAAATTTATACTGGGTCATTGTTGTGCAGTATTACTGGCTGAGGCGATGATAATATTATCGACCTCACAGCATTATGTCCCTATCTTATCTTCATTTAGGATTCTCATTCACTACTCATCCAATAAAAGGAGAATCGCGAGAGTGATACGTGTGCAATTTAGATTACTGGTATAGTACCCTTTGCTAGTGAACTCCGTATATATTTTGCTCATTCTCTTACCTCCACTGGCAGTATACAGTCCCACATAGACTGTGTCTCTCAGTGAGATGTCATTATTATCATGGACAGCAAGAGTTGGAATATCACAGCGATAGATACCAACTTGTGAGTTAGCATTGTCCCTACGACGTATGTCAACTCTCTGAGCTTCACGAGACTCAAAGATATCACCACCTCCAGAGAATGGCAGTCTAGTTCCATCAGGGAAATACCAGTCTCCACGATGGATACCCTGATCACTAGCACAACATGACTCCAGGTCAGTGATACACTGAACACCTACACCACCATCTTCAGGTCTCCCCACTTCACTGATGTCCACATAGGAATTGTTGGCCAGAGTCTGGTCCATGAAGGAGAGACGAGGAACGCTCTGAGAGTGGACCTCCACCAGAGACCAGAGGAGAAGAGTCAGTAACAACGACACCATCATCTACACAACAAAACATTCAACATTATGAATAGGAGCCAATAAGAACACGATATTGGCTGACAGGTTTATACACACATGAAAGCCTTGTTACTAGTGTGGTGTGGCAAAACTTGCTGCGGTCAATCTGAATAAGCCTGAAGTTGGCAATGCATGACTAAGAGGGGAGCAGTACAAAGCTGCTCGTTACCAGCAAGTGAGGCTGAGTTACAGCATAAATATGAGGGGCATGCCTTTAGGCTCTTGGTTCCACGGAACTTGTTACTTGAGCACAACCATTATGCTACCATAGACTGCCACACATGACTTCGTTTGCCTGCTATCATTGTCACGTGATATTGTTGCACCTCCCAGACCACACCCTCATGAGAGGATAAGGGTCTGGCAACTATCAAGCAATTCTTTGGTTATGCTGTCTTATGAGACACCGAATCAGATACAACTGCATGTAATTGTTCGTAAAGCCCCGAATGTGTCATGCAGTGTCAACAATACCACAGTTTATGTCTAATTATAGAATACTGAAGCATGTTACTTATGCATGCAATGGTGTGATCTACCAAGATATTGGGTGGACACTTTCCTTCTTGAGTTTGAGGCTCAAGTCATTTGGGACAAGATCAGGTGATTGTCACATGATCAAATCAAAATTTGGGTGTGCAACCATAACTTGCCAACATGCCATCATTTCACACTACAAGGTGTGACCAACTGCATTGCAAAACATGAAGAAACTAACGCCTGCAACACGGATCACCGTCTTAGCAGCCGACTAGCTTCATGCCCACATGCAGGGTCTCCCTGAGATAATTCATAGACGAGGTCTCCTCCGTAAGTAGCTATCCTCGACTACACATACACTGAGCCAGCTCTTGCACGGCGAGCTACTCCTTCCCCAGCCACCCTCGCCCACCACCAGAGCAGACTGTGTGTGTACGTCCGTAGCAAAAGCAACAAACCTTGATCTGCACCATCATCAGCAACCTCCGCTGCTGCCGCTGTCCAGTCGAACTCTTGGTCCTCTGCACTCGACACCTCCTCTGTTACTGTACTATCCGCCGCCGAGCACAAACACTCGATCACTGCTTAGCCTCTAGCTACCTGTCTTTTAGTGGTCTAGACAACCGCCATACATATCATCGAGCTAGGGTCAGTGTGTGCAGCTTGCAGCGCGGAAATGACGTAATCATAATCAACAAACATGATTATTGACCAAAATTCGAGTATGTTTCAAAAGAGTCCAAAAACACAAGAACTGCATCAAAAACAGTTTCATACTGTCCCTGCAGACAAGGATTGGGAGAGAGGGCAGTGAGCAGTGACAAAGACAGATTATGGATGACGTACCACAGTGCGTACAGCTCCAGGTTTCTGTACACGGAGAGCCTTGACCACCTGGAACACATCCACCACTCCCTCTGTCTTACACCTCTCAATGGTGGTGGCTATGGCACAGAACATCCCCGACCTGCTCACTGTATCACTGGACACAGGAGAGAGACACATGTAACCAAAAGGTGTATAGCTCTACTATAGAAGTGAACCTGCAATGTATCAAGATAGGTTTGTTGCCAGTTCGGATCTGAACTTTAACGACGTCATCGATGACATCAGTGATGGTCTTGACGCTGGAGCAGCTCCCGTCTGGGGCCCAGTTCAATATGTGGAACTGATTCACCTGCTGTACTTCATTGGTCTACATAGAGGATCACAGTTTCAAGTTGCGCAGATCTTTGCACAACTAACTCTGGGAAAATTTGCCCCCTAAACTTCACTTAGCATGTTTTTTCTCCTAGGAAATTCCCGCTGCATAAGCTCAGCAGTTTTGCAGGTACGTACCTTGTTGTTGACGATGGAGAGGTTTCTGAGAGTGAATCCAGAGAGCCTTTCTTCCTGGATCAGGTCCACAGTGAACTCTCCAACTGTGAGGGAGCCACTGGAAGGCCAGTACTGGTAGCATGTCTCCTGCACACACACACACACATGCCATGAACACCACAGCAATACTGCTGTATGGCCTCCCACCTTCCCACTCTCCACCAGGTCACACAGCATCACCACCACTCCACACTTCCTGTCATAGACCATCTTCCAGAAATCTCTGGCAGTGGACTGCATGGGACTCTGAGCTATGATGAAGGCTCTCTGCTGCTTGTAGCCCTGGGAGGGTTACACAGAGTCCTTAGCCTATTATTAACTATGTCCAGGAAAAGAGACTATAACTACAGAGTGAGGAAAAGGAGACTGAAAGTGGTTGGCTTACATGAACATTGGAAGCACTGATGTAGTCAGGTGTCTCCCCTTCAGCACTACCCTCCATCTGTCCACTGTGTCAGCAGAGGCAAAATAATAACATTCAGAGAGTCACACACATTCCATTCCTCTATCTCATTATCTCTCTTCCTCCCTCCTTAATTGTGTGCCTACCTGGGGGGAATTCCATGGAGCGGTTCTTCTTGGAGTTGCTGTGAGCAGCTACTGCCTTCACCTCTCTAGGATTGGGGCTCACCTTCTCCAGGATCTAAGAACACCATGGGAAACATGTGTATCTCTCATGTCAGTGGGGAGCTCCATCAAAACAACTTGTAGTGGACCACCCACACTTAGTTTCCAACTGTTACTTTCACTACACTTTGTGGAGCACACTTACAGAGAATTGTTGCTGGAGTGGACTTCCTCCCTGCAGGGACTTTTCCTTCAACTTCCTCATTGCCACTCTCAGACTTGAGGCTTCAATCTGAGTGTCTCCACATGTCACTGACTCCAGGACTGCGTCATGAATGAAGACGTATTGGTCCTGTGGTGACAGTGGGTCTCCCAATGTGAAAATTAGGTCTATACAAAAGGCAAGAAGTCTGCCCACACAGCACATTCCTCTAAATTGATAACAAACTGTGTCCTAACAGTAGTGTTATGACAAGGCTTACTGAGCCATATGGCTACTATAACTCACTCCCACACAGCAACTACTCAGCACTTTACCACCCACACTTACCACAGTCTGGACCAGCTTCATCCTCTGGTGGCGTATCTTGTTGATGACTCCAGAAATGTCCACCACATTCTCCTTGCCAAGCTGCTCCAGAACATGGTCTATGGTGATGAATGTCCCTGTCCTACCCACTCCAGCACTGCACACAGGGAAATAAGCTCAGGAGCTTTGTCAAAACCTTTCTGAGATAGGCTCTACCTGCAGTGGACCATAAGAGGTCCCTTTTTAGCTCTGTGTTCCTTCATCACTCTCCTGTGGAAGGTCAGGATGGGTGTGGCATAGTCGGGCACTCCGTGGTCAGGCCAGGCTGTGAAGTGGAACTGAATCACCTTCAGTGGACGCTCTGAATCCAGCTGCACAACATGGAAAAGTTGAAGGCTACGCATGAGGCATCACATGGACCAAAATGAAAGGAAAGGAATCACAATATATGAGCTCTGTTTATCAACATCTCTGCCCCCCAGTGGACACAGCAGTGTTCCCTCTCACCTGAAGTTCCAGTTTCCTGATGGTGTAATCTGCAAATATCTGCTCATCAGTCAGGGTCACTGTGAACGGTCCGAAGCCACACCTCCCAGTCTCTGGCCAGTATCGCTGGCACTTTATCTTGCCTCCCTCCTCCAGGTTGGTGATCATGACGATGGATGGGGCTCTCTCCTGCCACACCAGACGCCAGAAATCCACCAGCGTCTTAGGCAGAGGTCCTAGGAGAGGTTAATACAGTGAATCCTCTAAATAAGGGACACTTGGGGACATGGAATGTGTTCTTTATCCAGACATGTACATACATAACAAAGCACTGTGGGAATATTATACTAAATATGGAGGGTCCTTTTTAGGCTGATCCATTGTGGTCTGGTTACTACTACTACTGCTGAGTGGTGCAGTGGGGCTGCATTTGGAGTTTCTAGTAACTTGTGACAGACCTTGAGTGGACAGGAATCTGCCTGCTTTGGAGAACCCCTAGTAGAGAGAGAGAGAGATAATATAGCAGTTTTTTTGAGAAGGTTAATAATGGAAGGGGTTTTAACTCACACCAACATAGCTGGCATTGATGTAGTCTGACTGGCAGTCAGGATGGCCTGGTAGAGGCTTGAGTATCACTCTGTGGTCGTCATCTGCAGCAACAAACAGGGGCATACCCTGTGTTAACAACCCAAGGCATATCAACAAGGTGCCAAAAGATAAACATTTGTTAAGGGATATTTGTCAACAAACACCCTATCACACAGGGATGGTGGAATGTGGAGATCAGGTCTTACAGACACAGATGTTCCCAAATCTGTTCTTGAGCCTGTTTTCAGAGTTGGTGGCGATGGCAATTGTCTTGCCTTCTCCGTCATACAGAGACTGTGGATCAGAGCAAACACTCAGTCAGTTCCACACACACCAGAGAGTTGTGTCAATAGAGAGAGATGTGTTAGGAGAGAGAGAGTTGTGTTTGTTACCTGATACTCATCAGAGAAGCCCTTGTTTCCCCTGCTGTGGTTCTTCTCCACATGGTCGGCCAGCTTGGTGACGAGGACAGGTGCCAGGGTCACGGGAGGTCGTCCTGAGACCGGCGGTGTCTCTCCTTCTGCAGCCACTGTCAGCCTCACCTCTCTCTCTGCCCTCCCTCCTGGGTTATGGGCCACCAGCTGGTACACTCCACTGTGGTTGGTCTCAGCAGAAGGCATTGACAGAGTCCCGTCCTCCGCCAGCTCCCTGGAGTAATCCGGCACCACCTCTACTCCGTTGTGGTACCAGATCAGTTTGGGGTGGGGTACTCCAGTTACCCCAACCCTGAACATTACTCCCTCTCCCTCCTGGACGTATTGAGCGTCATCTGGGAAATCCACTATCACTGGAGCTGAGGGACAAAGAAACTATATACAGCCACAAACATTCAAGGGAGGAATGGTTTATAGTAAATCTGGTATCTGTGAGGATTGGCTGCCAAAGTTTTTGGGTGGAGCACTACGAGTTAGACAAGCAACTTGTAAAATTGGAATTCTCTAATGATCTTTACAAAGGGTTTTTTAATGAAGTTTCTTGCAAGAGAGTACATTCTCACCTTTCCCATTGGCTCTGTGGCTGGAGTTGTGTCTGTACTGAACGCTCTCCTCTGACTTGGAGTACTGGACCGGGGGAGGGAGGGCGTTACTGGAGGCCACTGGGGGCGGAGTCTTCTTGGTAGAGGGAGGAGGAGGTCTGGGTGGAGAGGACCGCCTGTAGCGTGGGTCCTTGGACCCTCTCCTGGAGGAGGGAGGGGGAGAGATGAGATGGGAATGGTGGATGTCAAATGTCTTCAATATGGTGTGTGACACAATACAGTAGTACCTCTTCCTCCAGACCAGGAACACAACCAGCAGGACAGCAGCAGCCACAACTATGAGGATGATTGGTACCAGGACTCCAGCAACTACTACCCCTGTATTACCACCTTCTCCATCATTATTTCCATCATTATTTCCAACATTTCCCTCTTCTGTTCCAGGAACAGTCGGTGTTTGAGTCCCACCAGTCTCACCTAGAGATCCAAGATTTATCAAATATCATCATTTTTATCAAGGTTTTACCTGCAACTGAGTGAATGTGAGTTATACTGACACATGTGATTCCATTATAATGTATTGCCTGGGGCTATTTGTTGTTGTTTACAAACAAATAAGTATGACCAGTCTCTTCGGGTGACGGATATCTACATTCTTACAAAATTTTGATTACATGTTATTTCTTTTTTGAGTTATGGGTGTTGAATCTGAAGAAGAAGAAGATCCTTATCATAGCCTATGATGCTAGGTACCATGCCCATCCCTATATACTAAGTACTACCGTACTGTGATACCTTGCACTGTAATAGTGGCGGAAGCAGCTGATGGTTTATTGTTGGCCACCGTACAGGTGTAAACTCCTTCCGTACTGCCAGTCAGAGTGTGGGTGTATTGTGCAGTCACTGGGTCATTCAACACAGTCTGGGTTCCTTGGGTGACAGTGGTGGAGTCTCTGGTCCAAGTGACAGTGGTAGCAGGTCCACCAGTGGAGATACAGGTGATGGTCAGCTGGCTAGGGTCAAATGTCACTCCTCCAGATATTGAGATCTCACCTGTCAAATACAATGGAGCCACAGTGCTATTGGGCTCAATCTGTTTAGGAATCCTACACGATTGATGGGCAACCCATCAAAAGAAAGTGCTCAAGAAGGCACAGCAAACAGAAAATGGGAGGCAAGTGAGTGGTACACAGAGAAAACATAGTGAAACTTGCTGCATGAGGATGATTAATGTCGGAGGCAAAGAACTTACACTCACCTCCAGTAGTAGTACCAGTATACAGTCCTATATATACTGGTGTGTCTCTCACTGAGGCGTCATTATCATCATGGGCATCATCAGTTGGAATATCACAGCGATAGATACCAGTTGGTGAATTTTCATTGTTCCTACGACGTAGGTCAACTCTCTGAGCTAGACGGACCTCATAGATATCATCACCATCTTCAGAGAATGGCAGCCTTTCACTTGCACCAGGAGCAAGCCAATCTCCACGATGAAAACCCTCAGTACCACTACAACATGTGGCTAGGTCAGTATGACACTGAACACTGTCACTACCACTGACATCACTCCCCACTTGACTGAGGTCCACATAGGAATGGTTGGCCAGAGTCTGGTCCATGAAGGAGACATAAGGAAAGGTCTGAGAGTGGACCTCCACCAGAGACCAGAGGAGAGTCAACAATACTGGCAGCATCACTGAATCCTCTAACCTTTCGGAGAAAATGTATGGCGTGTTATCAGTGTCAAAAATAGTACTGTTTTGGATTACGTGCAGTCGCTACGTTTATCGTGAGGTCGGCTTATTTTATACTGAGGTCGGCCTATTTTATACTGAGGTCGGTATATTTTATACTGAGGTCGGTATATTTTATACTGAGGTTGGCCTATTTTATACTGAGGTCGGTATATTTTATACTGAGGTTGGCCTATTTTATACTGAGGTCGGTATATTTTATCCTGAGGTCGGCCTATTTTATACTGAGGTCGGCCTATTTTATACTGAGGTCGGCCTATTTTATACTGAGGTCGGTATATTTTATACTGAGGTCGGTATATTTTATACTGAGGTCGGCCTATTTTATACTGAGGTCGGCCTATTTATTATGAGGTTGGTCTATTTTGTAATGAGAGCGGTTTTAATTTATTGGTGGGCCTATTCATCAAGAAACTGCTCCGATTAGGGTGCTTCATCTGTTTGTTCAGAGGTCTGCCGATATTTTTCTCTTCTGGTTACACCGCTGCGCATGCGCAAGATGCACATGTTGTGTATTGTGTCCAATGGAGGTTCAAGAGAACTTTTCTAGAGCAACATATCTCTTGAAAAAACAGATAAGACTGCCTTCATGATAAAATAGGACCGCCCTCATGATAAAATAGACCGACCTCATGATAAACGAAGCGACCTCATGTAATCCAAAACATACCCTTACTATTTTTGACACTGATACCACACCATAGGAAATGGGAAATTAATGAGTATATACAGTAGGGTCTAAGGAAACTGGGAATCTCAAATGATTTTGAATACTGCCAGTCAGGTAATCTTGCAGTAGAGCATGCATGATACAGAGTACTGTGGCAGACGAACGTGCGTAGGTCTAAACGCTGCTGATCCACACTTTCACTCTTTATCCATCTGATCTTATACGTACACCACACACACAGACGAGCACTACAGAAAATCTCGTACTAAAACAAGCGCATACCCAACAAGCCAATATACATGGGCGTCATGCCCTAGCACCCACGGATCGTCTTATGCACTGCTAACAGATTCCCTGCTCACCTTCCCCTGTCACTGCTAGCTATAGTCTGCCTGGTCCGCTGCACTGGACAAAGGCTTCGCTGCACTTCAGTTCTCCGGAGAGGGTAGCGAGGGTTCTCCCGCTAGGTTCGCTCGTGTACTCCACTTCCTGCTACCGTGCGGAAATGGGACAACGCGCATTTTTGGGCGTAGGCCATGTATCTATCACCTGTTGACTCAGGAAGTGAAGAACAACCCCAGTTTCTTCATTTGAGGTGTTAACTGAATAAACCTTGAATTTGACACAGAAATCGATACGTGAGAGAGTGAGGCTACGCTCGATAGTGTAGCACTATGACGCAGAAACAGTGAGTTTTCAAAAGTACAATAAAGTGACATTTCCAGCATAAAGGAAAGTAGGTTATAAGAGTGAAAATACATGCAAAAAGTCAGGTTAATTCAGTAGTAGCATACAAAATTAAAAATAAAACAGAAAAAAGATACAAACTAATAGTCTACTGTACAATTTCACATTCTTCATTGTCTGTATAATTATTATAGTTTCAAACGACGTCCTTGAAATTGGCATAGTTGTCATAACTGTTGACAAAATCAGCCAAAACCTCGTGGCAGTAGGCATACTGATCCTGTGGGGAGAGGGCAACAGATGGCGACTGTTAAGATAGAGGATCGATACAGAGAGAGAAATGCTGAGGGCTACAGTTATTTTGTGGTTGTAGAAACACTGGCTTAGCATAATGTATTATGAGCTTTTTTCTCAATACTGTATCAAAGAGAGAGGATAAAAGGATAAGGGGAAAAGAAGAAAGGGAGCAAAGACGAAGGGAGAGAGGAACATACAGCGTCAGGGACGAGGCCAGCTCTCTGGATACGGGCAGACTTGACAGCCTGGAAGAAGTCGACCACACCTCGGTCTTGAGTCTCTCCAACTGAGAATGGAGACAGATGACGTCCCCGTCCTTCCCACTCCGTCACTGAGGAGGTGAGGAGAAACAGTTTAGCAGTTGGCTGGCAATAGAATGTGTTTTGGGTGGGCTTTTGTTTATTGTGCAGCTAGACAAAGAATCCCACAACAGATACAGATGTGTTGTCAGCCACTGAAGAGGTATAAAACAGAGACCAGAGGGTGCACTGACTTGCAGAGGATGGTGATGGCTCTGTTCCCAGTGTTCATCTGGGCCTTGGTGATCATGTCCAACATCTCCACCACAGCTCCCGTGGAGACGGGTCTCCCGTCTCTGGCCAGTCCGGGAGCTGGAACTGAGTCACCACCACTCCTTCACCGGGTCCCATCTGCACTGCCTGCCACACACACACACACACACACACACACACACACACACACACATAGACACACTCGGTAACAGCAACTATGAGTGAAACCTCCCAAAAATACCCTCCAAATGAAGCACACCTCTCTATAAAGGAGACTTGGTTCTGCCCCACACTATATGCTCCTCTAAACAGAAACATTTCTGATTACGATACTTTCATATCCTCAGAGTTTCCTTATATCGGAGAATTTCACCATAGAGAGGGAGAGACCTACCTTGTCATCCTGGATCTTCCTCTGAATGAAGCTGTCATATGACGTCTCAGTCTGGAGTGTGACTGTGATCTTGCCATATTTGGCAGTGCTACCTTCGTCGTAAGGCCAGAAGGGATGACAGGCTTCATGGCCATCTTCACTCAGACTGCACAGCATCACCATCACTTTACTCTTGAACTCCCACATGAGTCTCCGAAGTCTCCCCTGTGTTCGAGCGGACCTTGAGTGGCAATATAGGCATTCCTCTTCTTGTAGCCCTGCAGTAGAGACACCAGCCACACACTCCACAGGTATTATAGAGGTAGGGGAGAGAGAGGTTTGTATGGTGCTAAGAGGTTGAGGTCTCACATCAAGGAAGCTGGCATTGATGTATTCTGATCCATCTTCTCCGGTTGGCCTCAGTCGAGCTCGAGACAGTTGTCTGCAGAGACAGAGTCCATTACACAGGGAGGGAGAGGGAGAGAGAGAGGGGCTAACAGGTAGTCGTCGGCGTAAGCGGGTCTTGACGGTTGTAGTGCTCACGGCTTCACGGCAGTCGTCTTCCTCGGGCTTACGGCTCACCTGATCAGCAGCTGTGTCATGTGACAGGAAGTGATGTCATCGGTACGCAGTGTATATACAACCATGGTACGACGAGAGGGATGGAAACATGAGATTGCACAACTCTACATTAGGGCCAGCAGCCATAGGAACATGAAACCCACGCCCACTCATGCATCCTAAACCCAAATGAAGTTCCGCCTACCCTGTCATCTATAGACACATATTAGGAACAGGTATATTATAGTGCCTACAAAGAGTAAAATCCACTATATTTGGTGGTTTGCCTGGCTTGCACCCCCACTGCCTCCTGGTGTATATACAATATGTGAGTGTATCATCTTCCATATTGAGAACTGCCTTACTCAGAGCATTACCACAGTTATGTAATAATCACATACATGCAGCAGTCTTACAATGTTGAATGAATTTTGCCAGTATCACATTACCGCAGTGGTTTTGAAGAACATTTTGCCCTATCTCATGGTATTACCTGGAATTGCTCCTGAACCCAGTGACCCCCTTGCCAGGAATGACCTTGGAGAGCCTCTGAATCTTGACCTTCAGAGCGGGAGCTGCAATGTCAGTCTCTCCACATGTGATGAGCTCACAGAGGTCACGGTCCAGCCCACCCCTGCACTGCAGTGGACCAGGAGAGGCACTCCGTCCTCCTTGTTGTGGGCCTTCTGGACCCTCCGGATGAAGGAGATGAGAGACGTGGCAAACTTGGGGACTCCGTGATCGGCCAGGAGGGAAGTGTACTGAGTCAGTGCCAGAGGCTTCTCGTCAGGTTCTGTAGTCTGTGGACAGTGTGTGTGTGGGTATTGGTGCAGAGGTGTTTGAAGGAAATGAAAGTGAAGACAGAAAAACAGTCAACAAACAGAGGTCAACAGCCTCTCTAGTAACCAAGCATACTGTTGGTAAGAGGTGCGCTCTACAAGGGACTCACGTTCTTGGCATTGAATGTTCTGATCTCAAAGTCAGCGAAAGGCATGGAGCTGGTGGTGGTGATCTCCATCTTCTTGTCCTGAGTCTCAAACACGTCTCCAATGTTGTCTGCCCAGTACTGCTCACACTTGCGCTGAGGGACAGAGGAGGAATGGGGTGGAAGAGGTATGATGCAAGCCAAATCCCATAATACTATTGGGGGATATACCAATAAGAACAGTGGTTGAGGGTTAAGAGGTATGGTCAGCCAAATTCCATTGCCCCATACATCACTATTAATCTCTAATACCACACTACACTAATGTGCTAATAAGGTATGCATCCACAATGGTTCCAGACACATGCTTTCTCACACTTTTGTCTCTATAGCAGTTGGAATGGAGTTAACAGCTAGCAGGCAGGGTTAAAACAACAGGTGGTCTCATGTAGTGTGAGACAGAGAGCATGACTCACCCTCCCGGCCTCCAGACATTTGGTGAGTATTACAATGTGCTGGATCTTGTACTCCCAGATCATCCTCCAGAAGTCAGCTATGGTGTTGGGCATTGGACCTGGGGACACAGCAGAGACAGAGGGAAGATGGTTAATATAAGAGAGGAGGGGGAAGGGACCACTTTACCTTGAGCAGCAATGTAGACTCTGGACCGGTTGTAGCCCTGAGAGAGGGAGAGAGAGGGAGAGAGGGAGAGAGAGAGAGGGAGAGAGGTGTAAGTTGGCCAGAGGAAGAGAGAGAATTAGAAACCCACGTCCATCCAACAGGCATTGATGTAGTCAGAGCCTTCCTCTCCAGGAATCTCTCCCAACTTGACACGAGACTCATCGTCTGATGAGAGAGAGAGAGGGAGGAACAATAACACCCACAGAGGAGGTAGTGTATGGAGCTCTCACAGGGAAAGATGTTTGCAAAGCGATTCTTGACCCTGTTGTGTTGTCTCTTGGCCACCTCGTGTGAGGCCAGCGGCTCAGACCCCAGAGACTGCCACACACACACACACACCATTGTCAACACGAGAATGAGAGAGAGAGAGATAGGGAGAGAGGAGTCTTACCTGGTACTCTGCCTCGAATCCCTTGTCTCTCTCCTCATGCATCTTGTTGACATGGTCTCTGAAACTGTCCACGGAGATGGGCTTCAAACGATCAGCCACTAAACACACACCCACACACACAGTCAGAGAGTGGGAAAGCAAGAAACACTTATGATAACAGGCACACTCATGGCACCGCTCTCCTATTTTGTCCAGTTTTACAAAGTCAACGTTCTATCACAACAGTAGTGAAAGGAAAGGACTCAGAGAGAGAGAGGGTGTAAGTCTCACCGACAGTCTGTGGGACAGGGACGGGGGAAAAGCTCTCCACCTCATTACTGGCCTCTATCTCCTTCTTCCTGGCCTCGTCACTCTCGTGGGGAGACGTGCTGCGTAGTGTCACCATCTCGCTCCCGGCAGAGGGCGTGGCATACAGGTCCCTCTTGTTCTTGGGGAACAGCTGGAGCCTATCTCTATCCCTTGCTCTGTAGACAGACACACAAAAACCTCTTTCACTTCTGGTGATCAACATTCACTCAAAAAAGGGAACAAGGTATATTAACTGAATAATCCACATTGTACATTCTAATAGGTGGCTTGACGTTTTGGTTTTGTTAAGTTCCACAATAGCACAGAGTGAAGAGTACTAAAGTGGAGCATGAAGGAGGTCTTGGCAAATTAGCTAATGAAGCAGGGTCAGAGCCAAGAGCAGAGATAGCAACATACAAACTGGTGCGGGAGTGAAGTAGTGGGTAATCAAGGAACCTCTTTATCCAGAGGACCACTATAATGACGGCCACTACAATGATGCCCACCAACAGAGCTGTCACTATTCCACCAATGATGGCTCCTGCATTACCACCACCTGCCGAGCAGACACAGAGAGACAGACAGACATAGATAATATCGTGAAACATATTCAGAGGATTATCACTAGGACAGTGGTACACAAATAACCAATGCATCAAACATGCCTACTGGTATACCTGGTGGTTCAGAAGTTCGTGGACGAGGAGCAGTCATTTTATCTGAGGGAGTCTGCTGGTTGTTCCCCTGTTCATCAGTGGCAGTGAAGACAGACACGTCGTACCCGGTGCTGGGGTCAAGGCCAGTCACAACTGTTGTATTTCCCTCCACAGGACCCTCCCTCCCTCCCTCCTGCCTCTTCCTCGCCCCTCCAGAGGGGGAGTAGGAGATGAAGTAGTAGATGTTGACTCTCCTGGCCTCGACCAGACTCAGTCTGCCAAATGACACCATCATTGCTGTCCCGTTGATCCGCTCCACCTTCACATTGTGGGGAGGCACCTTGGGAACTGGGCAGTGGTGGTGGGGAGAGGGTTAAATGTATTCTAGAGCCACTAGCAATGCACCAAACGTGAGAAAAATTTTCAGTGGCTTGAGCACATAGTAAGGTGACAGTGCCATTAAGCAAATAAAATAGGGTTGCTTTGCTGGCCAATAATTGCAGGGTCACGTACCTCCTTCCTCGGTGAAGAAAATGGATCTAGACTGCTGTCCACACCCACTGATGAATGGAGAATGAGTCAGTGACAACAGAACATATTCAGCAGTGTCTAACCTAATGTGATTCCTCGAACTTCAAAAAGAGCACTTGTTGGTCTGTTTGGAAACTATCGCTACAATGGATATGGTGTAGGTCTGTCCATTGGTGAGACCAGTCAGAGTGTAGCTGATGGTATCTCCACCACTGACAGCCTCACTACCACTGCTGCCTCCTCCAGTGAAGGAGATCCTGTAGCCAGTGATACCATCCAGAGGATCAGTAGGAGTCCAGGTCACTGTGATACTAGTGGTACCATCCTGGACTGCTGTCACATTAGTGGGAGGCTGGGGACCTAAATCACAAAATGCATGATGGACCACAAATTCCTGCAATGAACCAATCTCCTAAACGCACTGCTCATAGGTGGTCCAATGTACAATGAAACCCTAGTTTTCACTCCTTTCAGACCTTTCTACTGCCAAGTTAAAGGGTATTTGGGAGTATAAAAGGGCTAAATTTAGAAATGTTACTAAAGATAGAGCTAAACAGTAGGGCCCAGTGCAAGAATGCAATTATTTTTTTCAGCAACAGCTTCTAAATTTAGCACATTCTTTGAGTGGGTGTGAAAGCTATTTCTGAGGCAACAGTATGTAAATGGCTTATGTACAATCACCATAGCCAAAATCTCAAGGGTTTTATGACACTGGCATATGGCTGCATGACTGTACAAGTACCTGTTACAGTGGTGCTAGCTGAATCAGAAGATGGCTTGTTATTAGCCACAGTACAGTTGTACTCTCCTGCAGTAGTCACATTCAGAGTGTGGGTGTACTGTGCAGTCACTGGGTTATTCAACACAGTCTGGGTTCCTTGGGTGACAGTGGTGGAGTCTCTGGTCCAAGTGACAGTGGTAGCAGGTCCACCAGTGGAGATACAGGTGAGGGTCAGCTGGCTAGGGTGTAATGTCACTCCTCCAGATATTGAAATATCTCCTGAACAAAGTGCAGCAGTAACAAGTAGCAGTCGTACATAAATCTGCCTCAGCATACACACATGCACAAATTTGCTCACAAGCATTACTGAACACATGGTTTATCCTGTGTTCCATATAATGCCTGTCTGCAATATCAGACATTCTCCCTCGCTGCTTTCCTCCTCGAGAAAAAAGAGCAGCACAGTTTTTAAATAAATCTACGGTTATTTTACTATTTTGTGTGCTTTAAAGGGAATGTGGCAGTATATAGGGCTAAATTTAGAAAAATGCTACTTAAGATAGAGCAAAACAATAGGGGCACATTGAAAGAATGCAATGAGTTCCGTTTTTAGTTACATTTCTAAATTTCACAGCGATAGATACCAGTTGGTGAGTTAGCATTAGTGGCACGACGCATTTCAACTCTCTGAGCATCACGGATCTCATAGATACCAACATTATCTCCATTGAAAGGCAGTCTAGTTCCATCAGGGAAATACCAGTCTCCACGATGAGTTGGACCCTGAGCACTAGCACAACATGACTCCAGGTCAGTATGACACTGAACACTGTCACCAACACCACTCTGAGTATTAGTAGTCCCCACTAGACTGAGGTCCACATAGGAATGGTTGGCCAGAGTCTGGCTCATAGTCATGCCATTTAAGGAGACACGAGGAAAGGTCTGAGAGTGGACCTCCACCAGAGACCAGAGGAGAAGAGTCAGTAACAACGACACCATCACCTACACAACATCACTTTCAACTTAACAAGTAGGAGCCAATATTGGCTGGCAAATTATACACACATGGCAGATTTATATTGCCTTGTTAATAGTGTCAGCGTGACTTGCTGAGGTCAATCTGAACAAGCTGGCAGTGTAGGCAGTGTATGAGCGTGGACTAAGTAAAGCTGCCTGCCACACATGATTTCGTTTGCCTTCTATCATTGTCACGTGTTATTGTTGCAGAGAGGATAAGGGTCTGGTGACTACGCAATTCCTTGGTTTTGCTGTCTTATGAGACACCGAATCAGATGCAGTTGTAATGCAGCTCCACTATGTAAAACCATGCAAAGCACTGAATGTGTCATGCAATATCAGCATTACTAAAAATCAGTGTATGTATTGAGGCAGGCAGTGACCAAGAATTGGGTTGATACTTTCCTTCTTGAGTTTGAGGCTCAAGTCATTTGGGACAAGATCAGGTGATTGTCACATGATCAAATCAAGTTGGGTGTGCAACCATAACTTGCCAACATGCCATCATTTCACACTACAAGGTGTGACCAACTGCATTGCAAAACATGAAGAAACTCACACCTGCAACACGGATCACCGTCTTAGCAGCCGACTAGCTTCATGCCCACATGCAGGGTCTCCCTGAGATAATTCATAGACGAGGTCTCCTCCGTAAGTAGCTATCCTCCAGTATTATAGACTACACACACATTGAGCCAGCTCTTGCACGGCGAGCTACTCCTTCCCCAGCCACCCTCGCCGGGTCAACTGGAGTGTACGGACCCAGCGCGTAGCGACTTCCGGCGACTCGCAAATCACTCGCAATCGTGTGCGCCTGTCCAAGTAAGGCCACGCCCACTCGATGCCGCGTCAGCAAGCCAAGAAAAAGCATGCAGGGTTGGATGACCGCGAAGGCTCCGCTGTCTACGCAGCCTACTGTTCCCCAAAATGTCTCCGACTTCCGTGGACTTAGACCTCCGTGGAACAGTGTCGTTGTGCTGTGAGGTCAGTCGGAACCTAGCCCTGGACCAACGCCGCCTTGGTTTGTAACAGCACCGACTTTACCCTAGTAAGTGTACATTTGCCCTAGTACGAGAAAGAGCGCCGACCTACATTCCGCTCCTGTTAGTTCGACTGAAGATCAACTGTCGTTGTGCTGGGGGGGAGCACAGTCGAACTAACCAGAGCGGAATGTAGGCCGGCGCTCTTTCTCGTACTAGGGCAAATGTTCCCACAGCCGACCCTGCCATCTTTCCTTTTTCTTGGCTTGCTGACGCGGCATCGAGTGGGCGTGGCCTTACTTGGACAGGCGCACACGATTGCGAGTGATTTGCGAGTCGCCGGAAGTCGCTACGCGCTGGGTCCGTACACTCCAGTTGACCCCCCTCGCCCACCACCAGAGAAGACTATGTGTGTACGTCGGCAGCAAAAGCAACAAACCTTGATCTGCTCCACCATCAGCAACCTCCGCTGCTGTCGCTGTCCAGTCGAACTCTTGGTCCTCTGTGACAACTAACTCTGGGAAAATTTGCCCCCTAAACTTCACTTAGCATGTTTTTTCTCCTAGGAAATTCCCGCTGCATAAGCTCAGCAGTTTTGCAGGTACGTACTTGTTGTTGACGATGGAGAGGTTTCTGAGAGTGAATCCAGAGAGCCTTTCTTCCTGGATCAGGTCCACAGTGAACTCTCCAACTGTGATGGAGCCACTGGAAGGCCAGTACTGGTAGCATGTCTCCTGCACACACACATGCCATGAACACACATGCCATGAACACCACAGTAATACTGCTGTATGGCCTCCCACCTTCCCAGTCTCCACCAGGTCACACAGCATCACCAACACTCCACACTTCCTGTCATAGACCATCTTCCAGAAATCTCTGGCAGTGGACTGCATGGGACTCTGAGCTATGATGAAGGCTCTCTGCTGCTTGTAGCCCTAGAGAACACAGAGTCCTTAGCCTATTATTAACTATGTTCAGGAAAAGAGACTATAACTACAGAGTGAAGAAAAAGGAGACTGAAAATTGTTGGCTTACATGAACATTGGAAGCACTGATGTAGTCAGGTGTCTCTCCCTTCAGCACTACCCTCCATCTGTCCACTGTGTCACCAGAGGACAAATCATAACATTCAGAGACTCACACACATTCCATTCCTCTATAATCTCATTATCTCTTTTCTGCCCTCCTTAATTGTGTGTCTACCTGGGGGGAATTCCATGGAGCGGTTCTTCTTGGAGTTGCTGTGAGCAGCTACTGCCTTCACCTCTCTTGGATTGGGGCTCACCTTCTCCAGGATCTAAGAACATGATGGGAAACATGTGTATCTCTCATGTCAGTGGGGAGCTCCATCAAAACAACTTGTAGTGGACCACCCACACTTAGTTTCCAACTGTTACTTTCACTACACTTTGTAGAGCACACTTACAGAGAATTGCTGCTGGAGTGGACTTCCTCCTTGCAGGGACTTTTCCTTCAACTTCCTCATTGCCACTCTCAGACTGGAGGCTTCAATCTGAGTGTCTCCACATGTCACTGACTCCAGGACTGCGTCATGAATGAAGACGTATTGGTCCTGTGGTGACAGTGGGTCTCCCAATGTGAAAATGAGGCTACACAAAAGGTCTGCCCACACAGCACATTCCTCTAAACTGATAACAACTGTGTCTTAACAGTAGTGTTATGACAAAGCTTACTGAGCCATATGGCTACTATAACTCACTCCCACACAGCCAACTACTCAGCACTTTACCACCCACACTTACCACAGTCTGGACCAGCTTCATCCTCTGGTGGCGGATCTTGTTGATGACTCCAGGAATATCCACCACATTCTCCTTGCCAAGCTGCTCCAGAACATGGTCTATGGTGATGAATGTCCCTGTCCTACCCACTCCAGCACTGCACACAGGGAAATAAGCTCAGGAACTTTGTCAAAACCTTTCTAGGATAGGCTCTACCTGCAGTGGACCATAAGAGGTCCCTTTTTAGCTCTGTGTTCCTTCATCACTCTCCTGTGGAAGGCCAGGATGGGCGTGGCATAGTCGGGGACTCCGTGGTCAGGCCAGGCTGTGAAGTGGAACTGAATCACCTTCAGTGGACGCTCTGAATCCAGCTGCAAAACATGGAAAAGTTGAAGGCTACGCATGAGGCATCACATGGACCAAAATGAAAGGAAAGGAATCACAATATATGAGCTCTGTTTATCAACATCTTTGCCCCCCAGTGGACACAGCAGTTTTCCCTCTCACCTGAAGTTCCAGTTTCCTGATGGTGTAATCTGCAAATATCTGCTCATCAGTCAGGGTCACCGTGAACGGTCCGAAGCCACACCTCCCAGTCTCTGGCCAGTATCGCTGGCACTTTATCTTTCCCCCCTCCTCCAGGTTGGTGATCATGACGATGGACGGAGATCTCTCCTGCCACACCAGACGCCAGAAATCCACCAGCGTCTTAGGCAGAGGTCCTAGGAGAGGTCAATACAGTGAATTCTCTAAATAAGGGACACTTGGGGACATGGAATGTGTTCTTTATTCAGACATGTACATAACAAAGCACTGTGGGAATATTATACTAAATATGGAGGGTCCTTTTTCGGCTGATCCATTGTGGTCTGGTTACTACTACTACTGCTGAGTGGTGCAGTGGGGCTACATTTGGAGTTTCTAGTAACTTGTGACAGACCTTGAGTGGACAGGAATCTGCCTGCTTTGGAGAACCCCTAGTAGAGAGAGAGAGAGAGAGCAGTTTTTTTTGAGAAGGTTTAATAATGGAAGGGGTTTTACTCACACCAACATAGCTGGCATTGATGTAGTCTGACTGGCAGTCACGATGGCCTGGTAGAGGCTTGAGTATCACTCTGTGGTCATCATCTGCAGCAACAAACAGGGGCATACCCTGTGTTAACAACCCAAGGCATATCAACAAGGTGCCAAAAGATAAACATTTGTTAAAGGGATATTTGTCAACAAACACCCTATCACACAGGGATGGTGGAATGTGGAGATCAGGTCTTACAGACACAGATGTTCCCAAATCTGTTCTTGAGCCTGTTTTCAGAGTTGGTGGCAATGGCAATTGTCTTGCCTTCTCCGTCATACAGAGACTGTGGATCAGAGCAAACACTCAGTCAAGATAGAGTTGTGTTAGGAGAGAGAGAGTTGTGTTGTTACCTGATACTCATCAGAGAAGCCCTTGTTGCCCCTGCTGTGGTTCTTCTCCACATGGTCGGCCAGCTTGGTGACGAGGACAGGTGCCAGGGTCACGGGAGGTCGTCCTGAGACCGGCGGTGTCTCTCCTTCTGCAGCCACTGTCAGCCTCACCTCTCTCTCTGCCCTCCCTCCTGGGTTATGGGCCACCAGCTGGTAGACTCCACTGTGGTTGGTCTCAGCAGAAGGCATTGACAGAGTCCCGTCCTCCGCCAGCTCCCTGGAGTAATCCGGCACCACCTCTACTCCGTCGTGGTACCACGTCAGTTTGGGGTGGGGTACTCCAGTTACCCCAACCCTGAACATTACTCCCTCTCCCTCCTGGACGTATTGAGCGTCATCTGGGAAATCCACTATCACTGGAGCTGAGGGACAAAGAAACTACAGTGACAAACATTCAAGGGAGGAGTAAATCTGGTATCTGTGAGGATTGGCTGCCAAAGTTTTTGGGTGGAGCACTACGAGTTAGACAAGCAACTTGTAAAATTGGAATTCTCTAATGATCTTTACAAAGGTTTTTTTCATGAAGTTTCTAGCAAGAGAGTACATTTCTCACCTTTCCCATTGGCTCTGTGGCTGGAGTTGTGTCTGTACTGAACGCTCTCCTCTGACTTGGAGTACTGGACCGGGGGAGGGAGGGCGTTACTGGAGGCCACTGGGGGCGGAGTCTTCTTGGTAGAGGGAGGAGGAGGTCTGGCTGGAGAGGACCGACTGTAGCGTGGGTCCTTGGACCCTCTCCTGGAGGAGGGAGGGGGAGAGATGAGATGGGAATGGTGTGATGTTTTTAAATGTCTTCAATAGTACAAGTAGTGTCACACTTTACTGTACCTCCTCCTCCAGACCAGGAACACAACCAGCAGGAGAACAGCAGCCACAGCTATGAGGATGATTGGTACCAGGACTCCAGCAACTATTACCCCTGTATTACCACCTCCTCCACTATCATCATTTCCAACATTTCCCTCTCCTGATGGTGCTGGATTCCCACCAGTTTGACCTAGAGATCCAAGATTCATCAGAATAATCAATCAACCAACCAATCAAATGAAGAATGAATCAATCATTCGAATCAATCCTCAAGAATTTTACCTGGAACAAGAGTGGCAGTTTCCCACTCCACACTCTCACTGGAGAAATGTTCTGAAGTGCCTACAATAGATATGTCATACATCTCCCCTCTTATAAGACCAGTCAGAGTGTAGCTGTTGGTAGATCCACCACTGACAGTCTCACTACCACTGCTGCCTCCTCCAGTGTAGGAGATGCTGTAGCCAGTGGTGTCTCCCAGTGGATCAGGTGGGGTCCAGGTCAGTAGGACACTAGTACCATCACTTTGAACCTCAAACATCAGGTTAGTAGGAGCTGAGGCAACTAGAGAACATTGCATTGAGGACGTAGTTAAGGCATGTGGAGACAACCAACCTCTGACAGTCAAGGTTCCAGAGACCATAGATGGTTTATTGTTGCTCACAGTACAGTTGTACAGTCCTCCCAGTCTCCCAGCCACAGTCAGAGTGTGGGTGTACTGTGCAGTCACTGGGTCATTCAACACAGTCTGGGTTCCTTGGGTGACAGTGGTGGAGTCTCTGGTCCAAGTGACAGTGGTAGCAGGTCCACCAGTGGAGATACAGGTGAGGGTGAACTGAGGGCTGGCTTCATTGAGGTTGGTAAATCTCAAACCATCAGGTATCAAGACTTTACCTAACAACAATAAAGATATCATCTACAAAAACTAAACTATAACTACTTTATACCTCCATCGGCACTATACAGTCCCACATAGACTGTGTCTCTCACTAAGGTGTTATCATCATCATTGACAGCATTAGTTGGAATATCGCAGCGATAGATACCAACAGTTGGTGAGTCGATGCCAGCGCTACGACGTATTTCAACTCTCTGAGGTTCACGAACCTCAAACGTATCAATATTAGCTGCAGTGAAAGGCAGTGTATTTCCATCAGGGAAATACCAGTCTCCACGATGACCACCATTACCACTAGTACAACATGTGGCCAGGTCAGTGATACACTGAACACCTCCACCACCATTAGGAACATCAGATCTCCCAACTTGACTGATGTCCACATAGGAATGGTCATCCAGAGTCTGGCCCATGAAGGAGACATAAGGAACGGTCTGAGAGTGGACCTCCACCAGAGACCAGAGGAGAGTCACCAATACTGGCAGCATATTGAATTCCCCAACCTTTACGAGGAAATTGGAAAATGAGCATATACAGTAGGGGTCAAGGAAATTGGAATCTCAAATTATTTCGATTTTGGTGTATACTGCCAGCCAGGTAATCTTGCAGTAGAGCATGCATGATTCAGAGTATCCTATACTATGGCAGACGAACGTGCATAGGTCTAATCATGAAACGCTGCTGATGCACACTTTCACGATTCTGACTCAGTCATCCATCTGATCTTATACATACACCACACACACAGACGAGCACAATCTCGTACTAAAACAAGCGGATACCCAACAAGCCAATATACATGGGCGTCATGCCCTAGCACCCACGGATCGTCTTATGCACTGCTAACAGATTCCCTGCTCACCTTCCCCTGTCACTGCTAGCTATAGTCTGCGTGGTCCGCTGCACTGGACAAAGGCTTCGCTGCACTTCAGTTTTCCGGAGAGGGTAGGGCGAGGGTTTCTGCACTGTTCTCCCGCTAGGTTCGCTCGATCGTGTACTCCACTTCCTGCTACCGTGCGGAAATGGGACAACGCGCATTTTTGGGCGTATGCCATGTATCACCTGTTGACTCAGGAAGTGAAGAACAGCCCTAGTTTCTTCATTTGAGGTGTTAACTGAATAAACCTTGAATTTTGACATAGAAATAGATACGTGAGAGAGTGAGGCTACGCTCGATAGTGTAGCACTATGATGCAGAAACAGTGAGTTTCAACAGTACAATAAAGTGACATTTCAAGTCATAAAGGAAGTAGGTTATAGAGTGAAAATACATGCAAAAGTCAGGTTAATTCAGTTAAAACAGTAGCATACAAATTACAATATTAAAACTGAAAAGATACTAACTACTAGTACTCTACTGTGAATTCACATGCCTATCATGTCCTGTATAATTATAGTCTCAACGACGTCTTGAAATTGGCATAGTTGTCAGAACTGTTTGACAAAATCAGCCAAACCTCGTGGCAGTCGCATACTGATCCTGTGGGAGAGGGCAACAGATGGCGACTGTATGAGTAGAGGATCGATGACAGAGCGAGAAATGTTTAGGGCTACAGTTATTTTGTGGTGTAGAACACTGGGCTTATGTATAGATGGTATATATGGAGCTTTGTTTTCTCAGTACTGTATCAAAGAGAGAGGATAAATAGATAAGGGTAAAGAAGAAAGGGATCAGACGAGAAGTAGGGCGAGGAACATCACAGTCATCAGGGACGAGGCCAGCTCTCTGGATACGCAGACTTACCAGCCTGGAAGAGTCGACCACACCTTCGTCTTGAGTCTCTCCAACTGAGAATGGAGACAGATGAACGTCCCGTCCGTCCCACATCTCCGTCATCTGAGGATGTGAGGAGCAAACAGTTTTAGGAGCAGTTGCTGGCAATAGAATGTTTTCTTTGGGTGGCTTTTTGCTTTTATAGTGCAGACTATGACTAAAGAATCCCATTCAACAGATACAGATGTGCTTATGTCAGCCACTGAAGAGGTATAAACAGAGCCAGAGGGTCGCACTGACTTGCGAGGATGGTGATGGCTCTGTGTCCCAGTGTTCGCTGGCCTTGAGTGATCATGTCCACATCTCACCATCGTGCTCCCTGGAGACTGGTCATCCCGTCGCTCTGGCCAGTCCGGGAGCTGGAACTGATTCACCACCACTCCTCTCACCGGTCCACTCTGCCTGCCTGCCACACACACACACACACAGCACCACCGCGTATCAGCGACGTCGTCACGCACTAGGAGTGAAACCGCATAAAAGACCCTTCCACATGAAGCAGCACACTTCTCTATAAGGAGACTCTGGTCGCGCCCCACACTGTCTATACTTGCCTCTAAACAAGAAACACGCACTTCTGAGTACGACTCTTTCATACTATCCTCTCTCAATCGCTTTCCTTTATCGGCAGAATTTCTCACACAGAGAGGGAGAGACTACCTTGTCACTCCTGGATCAGCATCTTCCTCTGAATGAAATCTGTCAAAGTAGGACGTCTCAGTCTGAGTGTGCTCTGTGATCTGCCATACTGTGGCACGTGCCACCTCCTCGTCGTACACCGGCCAGAGAGGGACTGACAGGCCTCGTGGCCGTCTTCACTGCAACTGCACCGCATCATCACCATCACCTTACTCTTGACTCCCACACGAGTCCTCTCCGCAGTCTCCCACGTGTGCTCTGGCAGCGGACCTTGAGTGCGCCTATAGTGCATTCCTCTCTTAGTAGCCCTGCAGTAGAGCACCAGCCACATTCTATTCACACACTCCACAGCGTATACGAGGTACTGGGAGAGAGCGGTTTGTATGCTGGCTAAGACGTTGATGGTCCTCACTATCAAGGAAGCTGGCATCTGCGATGTATGCTGATCCATCTTCTCTCTCTCCGGTTGGCCTCAGGCGCAGTCATTCGATGACAAGTTGTCTGCAGAGCACAGATTGTCATTACACAAGGCGGGAGAGGGAGAGAGAGAGGGCGACTAACAGGCAGCGTCGGTCTGCGTAGCGGTTCTCCTGTAGGAGCGGTTGTAGTTGTGCCCTTCCCCACGAGCTTCACTGCAGTCGTCGTCTCCTCGGCTTACGGCTCACCTGATCCAGCAGCTCGTGGTCATGTGACAGGAAGTGATGTCATCGGTACGCAGTCTGTGGGGGATTAAACGCAGGGTATATACAATAACCATGTACGAAAGAGAGATGGCTAAAACATGAGATCTTGCCCACTCTACATAGGGCAGTAGCACACGTGAACATGAACCCACGCCCACCTCATGCATTCCTAAACAAATGCAGTCCGCCTACCCTGGTCAGCTATATGACACATATTAGGAATCAGGTTAGTCGCCCACAAAACAGAGTAAATCACACACGATATATTGCGTGGTTTGCCTGGCTCTGCACACTACTGCCTCCTGGTGTATATACATGTGAGTTTATCATCTCCCATATTGAGAACTGCCTTACTCAGAGCATTACCACAAGTTAATGTAATAATCACATAATTCATGCATCTTACACATGCTGAATGAAATTATTGCCAGTATCACTTACTGCAGTCGTTTGAAGAAACATTTTGCCCTATCTATGTATTACCACCCTGGAATTCGCTCCTGAACCAGGACACCCCTTGCCAGGAATGACCTTGGAGAGCCTCTGATCTTGACTTCAGAGCGGGACCTGCAATGATCAGCTCTCCACATCTATGAGCCACAGACTTGCACTCGTGATCCAACACATACTACTGCTACTCCTGCGGAGCAGAGAAAAAGAGAGAGAGAGAGAAGAGAGAGAACGAGAGGAGAGAAGAAGAGCCCAGAGAGAAGAGAGATAGAATATAGAGAGAAACCTAGAGAGAATAGAGAGAGAGAGAGATAGACATAGAGATAGATATATAGATATAGAATAAGAGAGAGAAGAGAGAAAGGAGATATTACTTTACTTTTCCCCCAACATACACATTGTGTGTACCAACCCAACCAAAGGCATACTGTTTTTTTTAACAATAGCAGAGTTTACTAGGAAATGGTTTGGACAAACAACAAGTAATGAAGTAAGTGTTAGGCACATGTTGTTTTTCTAAAAAGAGTCTAGTTTTTTTCTAGTGTTGGAAAAATTCATTTAGACAAGCACAGAGACATGTTGTCCCAGATGCTCAATAACAAGACTACATAAAATAGAATGCAGATGTCCGTTGTTATTCAACATACGGGCACTCTGTATGCATTTTCAACAGGAACTAAAAGTAGGACAGGAGGCTGGGAGATCGGAACACACCAGAGTCCTGAACGCATCCACCTCTCCTCCTGCGCGCATACCCGCAGACTCATACACTTGACCTTCTCTACACCTTGATCCCTCTCCAAATGAGTCCAGGAGGCATAAAGGTCCCGGCTCCGACGACCCCTGCACGCAGTGGACCAGGAGAGTGCGCACCCGTCCTCCTTGTTGTGGCCTTCTGGACCTAGCGGATGAAGGGATGAGGACGTGGCAAACTTGGGGACTCCGTGATCTGAGCCAGGAGGTGAAGTGTACTGGTGTCACTGCCAGAGGCTTCTCGTCAGGTGCTGTAGCTCTGTAGACAGTGTGTGTGTGGGTATTGGGGCAGAGGTGTTTGAAGGAAATGAAAGTGACAGACAGTAAAGACAGTCAACAAACAGAGGTCAACAGCCTCTCTATGTACTGAGCAGTACTGGTGGTAGAGGTGCGCTCTACAAGGGACTCACGTTCTTGCTGCAGTGATGTCTGCTGATCTCAAAGTCAGCGAAGGCATGCGCAGCTGGGGAGTTGTGATCTCCATCTTCTTGTCGCTGAGTCTCAAACACGTCTCCAATGTTGCTGTCGCCCAGTCACTCTACGCTCACATTGCTTGCGTCTGAGGGCAAGATGTGGGGTGGCGGAGAAGAGGAAGCCAAATCCCACTAATGCTAGTGGTGGATTACCAATAAGAACAGTGGGTGAGGGTAAGAGTAGCTGGTCAGCCAAATTCATTGGCCCACTACATCACTATCACTCTCTATGACCACACTACACTAATGCTGCTAACTCAAGGTATGCATCCACAATGGTTCCAGACACATGCTTTCCCACACTTTTGTCTCTATAGCAGTTGGAATGGAGTTAACAGCTAGCAGGCAGGGTTAAAACAACAGGTGGTCTTATGTACTAGTGAGACCTAGAGCATGACTCACCCTCCCGGCCTCCAGACATTTGGTGAGTATTACAATGTGCTGGATCTTGTACTCCCAGATCATCCTCCAGAAGTCAGCTATGGTGTTTGGCATTGGACCTGGGGACACAGCAGAGACAGAGAGAAGATGGTTAATATAAGAGAGGAGGAGGAAGGGACCACTTTACCTTGAGCAGCAATGTAGACACTGGACCGGTTGTAGCCCTGAGAGAGGGAGAGAGAGAGAGAGGGAGAGAGAGAGAGAGGGAGAGAGGTGTAAGTTGGCCAGAGGAAGAGAAAGAATTAGAAACCCACGTCCATCCAGCAGGCATTGATGTAGTCAGAGCCTTCCTCTCCAGGAATCTCTCCCAGCTTGACACGAGACTCATCGTCTGATGAGAGAGAGAGAGGGAGGAACAATAACACCCACAGAGGAGGTAGTGTATGGAGCTCTCACAGGGGAAGATGTTTGCAAAGCGATTCTTGACCCTGTTGTGTTGTCTCTTGGCCACCTCGTGTGAGGCCAGCGGCTCAGACCCCAGAGACTGCCACACACACACACACACACACCATTGTCAACATGAGAGAGAGAGAGAGAGAGAGAGAGAGGAGTCTTACCTGGTACTCTGCCTCGAATCCCTTGTCTCTCTCCTCATGCATCTTGTTGACATGGTCTCTGAAACTGTCCACGGAGATGGGCTTCAAACGATCAGCCACTAAACACACACACACACACAGTCAGAGAGTGGGAAAACAAGAAACACTTATGATAACAGGCACACTCATGGCACCGCTCTCCTATTTTGTCCAGTTTTACAAAGTCAACGTTCTATCACAACAGTAGTGAAAGGAAAGGATCCATAGACGGTGTAAGTCTCACCGACAGTCTGGGGGACAGGGACGGGGGAAAAGCTCTCCACCTCATTACTGGCCTCTATCTCCTTCTTCCTGGCCTCGTCACTCTCGTTGGGAGACGTGCTGCGCAGCGTTACCATCTCGCTCCCGGCAGAGGGCGTGGCATACAGGTCCCTCTTGTTCTTGGAGAACAGCTGGAGCCTATCTCTATCCCTCGCTCTGTAGACAGACACACAAAAACCTCTTTCACTTCTGGTCATCAACATTCACTCAAAAAAGGGAACAAGGTATATTAACTGAATAATCCACATTGTACATTTCTAATAGGTCGCTTGACGTATTGGTTTTGTTAAGTTCCACAATAGCACAGAGTGAAGAGTACTAAAGTGGAGCATGAAGGAGGTCTTGGCAAATTAGCTAATGAAGCAGGTTCAGAGCCAAGAGCAGAGATAGCAACATACAAACTGGTGCGGGAGTGAAGTAGTGGGTAATCAAGGAACCTCTTTATCCAGAGGACCACTATAATGACGGCCACTACAATGATGCCCACCAGCAGAGCTGTCACTATTCCACCAATGATGGCTCCTGCATTACCACCACCTGCCGAGCAGACACAGAGAGAGAGAGAGACATAGATAATATCGTGAAACATATTCAGAGGATTATCACTAGGACAGTGGTACACAAATAACCAATGCATCAAACATGCCTACTTGCATACCTGGTGGTTCAGAAGTTCGTGGACGAGGAGCAGTCATTTTATCTGAGGGAGTCTGCTGGTTGTTCCCCTGTTCATCAGTGGCAGTGAAGACAGACACGTCGTACCCGGTGCTGGGGTCAAGGCCAGTCACAACTGTTGTATTTCCCTCCACAGGACCCTCTCTCTCTCCCCCCTGCCTCTTCCTCGTCCCTCCAGAGGGGGAGTAGGAGATGAAGTAGTAGATGTTGACTCTCCTGGCCTCGACCAGACTCAGTCTGCCAAATGACACCATCATTGCTGTCCCGTTGATCCGCTCCACCTTCACATTGTGGGGAGGCACCTTGGGAACTGGGCAGTGGTGGTGGGGAGAGGGTTAAATGTATTCTAGAGCCACTAGCAATGCACCAAACATGAGTAAAATTTTCAGTGGCTTGTGCACATAGTAAGGTGACAGTGCCATTAAGCAAATAAAATAGGGTTGCTTTGCTGGCCAATAATTGCAGGGTCATGTACTCCTTCCTCGGTGAAGAAAATGGATCTAGACTGCTGTCCACAGCCCTCGGTGTTGCGAGCCACCAGAGTGTAGACATAAGGAGTCTCTTTGTCTGTGGAATATATTGGTACTAATACAGCTACATACAGTGGTATATAGAGCTCTGTCTAACCTAGAGATCCCACAGTGTGATGTCGCAGTGTTCCCAGCAGCTCCTGAGGGTAGCCTTCGACCTTCACTGTGTTTCCTTCCCAGGCCCATCCTCTACATACCTCTCCACCAACACAATGTACTCCAGTATTGAGAATGGTGCAGCAGAGGAGACCCAGCTAATGGTGACTTCATCAGGAGTCTTGTTGATGAGAGTTGGTTTGATTTCTCCCGGCACTGTGGAAGGAAAAATAAATGATGACAATTTGTATATGAGTAAACCTCGTAAACATGCTCACCATCGCCACTGACTGTCACTGTCTTACTGCTACAGTAGTTCGATATTCTGGCCTCCTTTATATTGATACACACACTGCAGGTGAAGGTCCTGGGTCCAGAGGAAAGCTGGAGATCCTTTGTAATATTCTGGCCTGACTTCTGAGGTGTTTATACGTCCCCCATCACCCATCAGTGTTCACAGTGTGGGGGTTCAGCAAACTATTGGTGACACCAGCGAGGCAGGAGATTGCGTCAGCCTCTTGGCCGCCGAAGTCCACACTCAGACATTCCTCGGCCCTCCCTGAGCCAGTGGAGGACTGGAGGGTAATCCTGACAGTGGCCTCTGAAGACCTGCACCAAGAGAGAGAGAGAGAGAGGACTGTGTGTCTGACTGAGCACCTCTTTCATATCGCTACCTCGAAACAATGACATCAGTTGTCTCATTAGCCGAAACTCCCATAATATATTTTTTATCATCTCTTAGCATTGGCTGGATGACTGCTCTGCAAGTATACGTCCCATTGTCCTCTCCACGAAGTGGCCTGAATATTAGAGTGTGAATCTGTCTTAACTTCTTTGTTTCTGTCTTCGATATGTTGGATATGGTGCCACTATTGTTCACGTGCTGAGGTAGCACCCATTCACTGTTGATAGTGATGTCAGTATCCACAGCCACATCCACCTCCACAGTACATGTCATATTGAACTTCGTCCCATTGTATGGAGTATATTCTTTCACAATGGTGATTGTTGGAGCTGGAACTGTAGGTTTAGAAAAGGTGACGTAATGTATGAGTGTTTGTACTTCCACATATGGCTTACTCTGGACTATGAGACGAGTAGTTCCACTGCCACTCTCAGATATACCCAGAGAAGGTATTGAGAAGTTGACTCTGCAGGTATACTGCCCTCCATCTGACGTGTTTAGCAGAGGAAACGAGAGGGTCTTGTTACTGGAGACCACCCCAGATGGACTCAGCCACTCCACAGATGGAGGAGTCACCAGGTTGACGGGAGCTGTGAAGTTACATTCAGTCGAGAAAGGTTTGCCAGCTTCAGATACAATCCTAGCTTCTGTAATAATTGGTGCACGAGGCTCTGGGGAATAGAAGATATTATGTAAGGTGGAGTAACAATAAGAGACTAACAACCTTCTCTACACTGACTGTCTACTGGAGGACGTAGTGTCACTTGCTGGCTAGTACTCCCTCAGTATCAGTGCTGGGAACTACAGCAGCGCATACAGGTATAGACTGGCAGCAATCTGAGCGCTGGGATGTCAATGGCACTGATACGTCCAATGCACTAGTGAACTCAGTGCGAGGATGTATTGGTCTGAGAGATGGTGATGTTTGGCGTCACTCATTACATCTCTGATCCTGGTCACGGTGATACTCACATCAAACAGAGTGTCCACGGAAGCATCGACAGAGATGGCTACGCCTTAAGATGATCTGTCTAGCTGCGTCCTCGTAGTACGGTCCTGCATCACCAGCATCTAGTGTCTCACTGACACCTGGGAGCCGGGACTGAGAGATAGAGGGTGGTGTGAGATGGCGGTAGATAATATGCTGAATTAAGGATCACTAGTGACATATAATATCCTGACTCGTATTCGCACTGACGTCAACCACCACTACGTCTACGAGCTATTCATTCTCCAGTAGCCCGATGTAATCGCTCATCTCCTCTGTCTGAGGTGTTCACCGTGGACTGACACCGATTGAGTCTCTCCAGGTTGGCTGGCGTCTATGCTCGGACACTTCTTACGCATCGTTCATCTTGCTCCACTGGTGTGGGCCAGATGATCGAGATGTCCTCTGACCATCACTCCTCCTACTGTGTCCAGTGCTACACCAGAGTATAGTTCACCTAATCTCTGCAGTGGCGCAGCACCCTCTCCGCACCAACCCCCACGTACTGGAGCTTCGGCTCTCACTCTGTGCGTTAAAGCCATGCAGGACACATGAGGATGTATCAACACACTCAACACTCACGTCCCATGGAGTGGGTACAAGCTGACTGACTTCAACTTCTATACTCTCTCCTTCACACTAGCTCTGGCTGATAGGTCAGTTATGAATCTGCATCCTTCGACTCCACTTCAACAGAGACACTCTAGTAAACAGTTCTTGCAGTCGATTTACTCTACAGAGAAGCTATAGAATGCATCGACCTGCTCTCATAGTTCGCCAATGATAGGAGGTCACTCAACGAAAGCTACAGTGTGATTGCAGTGATCACGACCGCCATCACAGCAATAACACACTCGCACTCCTTGCTCCAGTTCAGTGAGACAGACATAGAAGAGTCTACACTAGGGTCTCCCAAGGAGTCCCACTCCACACACACGACGACGTGAAGCAATGTATCTGGAATAGAAGATGTAGCCATCGTGTCAGAAATCTACACGAGTGAAACTGTGCACATCAGGATTGGGACTAGTGAATGGCAGGACAGAGCAGAGAAGATGGAGTTTTTGTTTGCGGTAACATGCGAATTTCGACTGAAAAACTAACTTCTTCATCACTGTTTTCGATACTTCTCCACAGTGGAGGCAGTTAGATCGTAATACCCCTGGCACCAGGGTGATTGGACCGACTGGACAGTACAGTTGTAGCTGCCTCCATCTGACGTTCTCAGAGGAGAGAAGGTATGCTGCAATGAACTATTATTCTCTACCGATGTGACATTTGAGTCAGGGAACACAATGTTCAAGTCAGGCTCCACCACCAGACCAGGCACCACTTCAGCTGAACAAGAAATGGTGTAGTTCTCGCTGCCTGCTGTAGGGTCTCCGGTGAAACTGATGGACACAATTGGAGCAGGAAGAGCTGGGAAATGAGGGAATAGTGATGTAATTTGATAGTAGAGTACTAGGGCAGTAACTCACCAGTCACAGTTACTGTATCCTGATCAGGTTCTCCGAGGTCACTGGGAGTGATGTATTGAGAGGGAGAATAAGTAGATGCCACACAAGAGAAGTTCCCAGTATCAGTCGTGGCCAGAGGACTATAGTGAGATTGGAGATGAATGCGAGAGCTGTACCATGACGAGTACGGCTACTCAGGATTTGGTGACTACTGTTGATCTGTGACTGTCGTCGGTGTCCACGTGAATAGCTCAGAGCCTATCTGACATTCGGTCGATCGCCCTCTCGCGCAGAAGTAGTGTTTGCAGACGAGTGCGCATTGCGCAGCAGAGAGGACTGTCCTATGGCTGATGCGGGTCACTGCTAGGTGACTCATCCGCTGGACCACTTCGTTCCACTCGCACTCAGACATGATCACACTCCTCTATGCTCGCCCTGTCGATGTGGCGCTGCACTAGGTGATGCACGAGCTATATCATCCAGCCATGCGTAGCCTTGCAACCGTAGACATCTCAGATCACACACTCACAGGTGACATATCTACTTACTAGGGATAGCGTGTGAGTGGGAATGGCACACGTTGCGAGTGTGGAGATACCAGTGATCCCACACAGTGGATAGAGTCCAGTCACTGAGATGTGTAGAGAGCGTGATGTTAGACTGTAGAGAGTGGATGGTGGCAGTCTGTGCGTACCATACACCACAGTCTCAGCTCACAGTAACAAACACCTGTTTTCCTGAGACCACAGGACGCAGAGACTGTAATATCATAACGACTGCCACATCAGGCACGAAGAGTGCTTAGTCAGTCTCATTAGCTGGCAGTGGTCTCCTTCCTTCTACTGTACATGCTGAAGTCACAGTGGGACCAGCTGGTCCAGCTAGATGGCTGAACCAACATCAGTCATCTCTTAGCTGTGACGCGTGATCCGGTCTTCAGGCATCTAGGATGAGTGAGAATGTTAATAACACAACACATCACTTTCTCATGACACTCTGTACGTACAACTTCCTCACCAATGAAACAGTTCTCATCGTACAGGTCTCTTAGTCACTCAACCACATCGCAGTCTGCAGGTATCACTGCTGTCTCATTACGTACTACGTGCACTACTGTTACTCATGAGGAATATCGTATCCTCCACAGTGTGAGATTGTCACTGCTCGGTCTCACTGGGCCACCACAGCCGACTCGTCTCTGTATCTACACTTCGATAGAAGATACTATCACATTGGCGTTCTACAGCTGATGGATATGCCTGACTGCCCACAGTGCGACTATCAATCCTCACCATGATACAGTGATATGAAGCCTGTATGAGGATATGAACGTGAACCACTATCAACTATATGATAGAAGGGTGAATGAAATCGCTCACCGACGAGCCTCTACCTACACTACAGAGTCAGTAGCCTCAGAGTCACTTGTCTGACGTGTGCAGTTGCTGCAGTACGGGCAGACTCATAATCATGACTGACTGTTCCGGCGCTTTGGAGTTAGGTCTGTCCGTTCTGCCGGTCAACTGACAGTACCTGAGAAACTGCTGTACATCAGCCGCGCTAAGAGGTGCTATCCGTCCTATTGTCCAGTGTACCGGTGGTGGCAGGGAGCATTGGAACACACATGTGAGGGTATGAACTAGTCATTGCCCAAATGATATATTTAGCTTCACAAACGTATACGTGCTCGTAGGTCGTTGATGGCAAAGCCACTGGATGACGAGGCTAAGCTGGCAGTAACTATACCGGGCTATATGTGGACGACCCACCGCAGTGAGGGTACACCCCGGCGCACGCGTTTTTGATAGGTGTAAGGACTTAGTGATGGTGCGAGCTCACTTGTATGCTGGACGGAGACGAGACAGAAGCGTTTGATGAGGCATCATCTGGCAGCTAATTTTCCGTCCCCTGGCTCCTCATTGAAGCCTCAGTGGATACAGCTCCCCATAAAGTATCATTGACGGATAATGCTCATCGCTCACTTGGAATCAGGAATGTGTGCAGCGTGTATACTCCTTGGTCTGCGGCTCGAGAGTAGGTCCTGCGTGTCGTCTTTGTGTCTATGTTCATCACTGCATCGAAGACGGAGAACTCGAGAAATACTCACAGGTCGACTGTGAAGCGGTTTCTTTAAGTCAGATTTACTAGTAGTGGCTATCCAGGATGTTACGTATCATTCCATCAGGTGCTAGCTGTATGTCTCCCCACGCCAGCATACTGGAGTTAGAGAGACACACGCCAGTCTCACGTGTCATCTACTTCTACGGACGACTACTCAGTCCACTCTGTTGGCTATGTGACCTGATGAGACACGGCCCTGTCAGACCTCTAGTGCATACACTCTCTCCAGTCACCTGAAACAATGTGATTACTTTTCATCAGATAGATGACAAACAGTAATATTAAGGCTCTCACAACACATTGACAGGGCAAGCTAACTGACTGTTTCACTGTCTGTGATCTTCTCCAGACTCACTCACAGTACACTTGTGTAGCTTTGCCGAGCATAGTACATGAGTATAGTTTACGGTCGACCACCAGTGAATAGGAGGGTATGATGGATGAGATACCAAGTCATTCTACCACAGCCAGTGTACTGGGGTCCCATTGCTCCGAGATACCACGTGTAGGCTCATAGAAAGAGAAAAAGGAAAGAAAAAAGGAGCTCACTGTGTCTCCGCTGCAACTGCGAACAGTTTGAGAGTTAGTTTACCTTCTGCCTGCAGTGAATTCTCATGAGGATCCAATTCCCCGGGATCTCCCTGGAGCTGGTTCGTAGATCGGACTCACAGTCACATTCAGTTCTGTATGTACGGATATACAACACATGAAGGAATGGTTTAGACCTAACATTGCCACTTACTGACAGTGATCCTTGTTGTACTATATGCTAGAGGACTGTCCAGTATATATGGACTATTAGTTGAGTCAGTCACTCTGACTGAACAGGTGTAGTCTCCACTATCTGCTGTCTCCACACTGGGTATGACCAACTGTGGACTTGCATCATTCTCAGCATTGACTCTGTTGTGTCTACCACCAGGAGTGCTCCAATTGGAGAGGACGGTGATAGAGGTGTCCACAGAGGGAGGCTGGATGGAGCAGTTGAGGGAGAGACCAGAGCCAGACACCAATTCTGTTGCTGTTTGTGCAGTCACTGCCACCATTGGACTGGGGACTGAGAGAGAGAGAGGAGATGTAACTATCAGTAGCTCAATGAGAACGGTTGCTTACTTCGAACATATACATCTGTATTGCTACTGTTGTTCCTGGTGACATTAATGGATGGAATGTTAATTGCAGCCTGGCAGGTGTACTTGGCCCCATGTGTAGTACTCAGAGAACTGAATGTCAGAGTTCTTGTGACAGTGGTTCCTTCAACAGCAGTCTCAATCTGCGTGGCTCCACCATTACCTCCAGTCCACTCGACAGTCAGCTCAGCACCAGGTGTGAGATGGTCTACTGTTGTCGCAGTACAGGTCAAATGGAGGGAGTCCCCCACCGTTTGAATAGTGGGACTAGAGGCATCCAACTCCACCACTGGAGCTGAGAGGTCTGAAGAGGGCAAAGTAGGTTTATTAAATCACTCACAAGGTCTATATATACTCACCTATTACATTGACATTGGTACTACTGGTATTAGTGGTCTGACCTGTGGCTTTGTACTCAGTCGCAGTGACGGCCCGAGTACGCAGTGAATGACACTTGTCCTCGCGGACAGAGCTTAGAGGACTGATGGTGAGAACACTCCTATAGGCTGCGACACTCTGGGCTGATTTCTGTGGTACGCTGAGATATTGCGAGAATCATGTCAACGATCTTTGCTCTATCTCAGCTTCCTCGACTCATACTTCCAGCATGATGGACAGTGTCTCATCTGATTTGCGACCCTCTCTTGGCGTCTCACGAGTGCGCAGTACTGTGATACGTGAGATACTCCTGAACGAGACCAGTTTTCCCGCATACAGTGGATCTACTATCAGTTGAGAGCACTACTACGGTCACTCACGGTGGAGGGACTGACGAAGGACAGACAGTTCTAGACACGACATACACACAATGCATGGCTTACTCATGTCGCACGATATATACTCTGACTACCTGTGACATCTTTGGTGGTCCGCCTCGGATACTCGATATAGTCTCCATTGTACATGAGGCTCAGACGTACATATAATTGCGCCAGTGTCAGATGTAATATGAAGAGAGAATACGAGCGTTGTCCCTCAGCGTGAGCATCCTGAGCCTACAGAGGATGTCTACTTCTTCTCCATCCACTGTCCCAGTGGCGTCTGCTGTCACAGAAATGTTGCGTACCGGAGCAAGCTACAGTGAGGTATTGCCACCACTCTCCAGTAATAATAGTGGAGTTAGTGATGAACGGAATTGCGGTTGAACTCCAGGAAACTGGAGCTCACACACAGATTCTAGCATCAGTATATAC